ATATATATATATATATATTTCAATAGTTACTTATAATTCACACGAACAACTAGTGTTGGTTCATATTGGCAATAATTTTACATATATACATTTAATATAATACAAGTCTCGACCACAATTGTGTTAATTAATAATAAGTTCAAAATTAATATTGATTGACAATTCCATAATATTTATTATATTTTACACTTGTACGTTTCAATTGTAAGGAAGATTTAATATTATGATGAACAATGTAATAAAGTGACACAACAAAGCAACAAGTTCTTGCCAGTTCAATTAAGCCTATTCTACAATGTGTTTTTTGTTCTCAGTTTTTTGCTTTTTGTTATATTTCACATCTTGTCTTTTTGCTTTTCATCTCGTTTTTCCTTTTCTGTAGTCCGTGATAAAAATTAACGAACTTTGGAAGAAATACGTAAGCAAGAAATACAGTTGTCAATAAAACGGCCGCAAAAGGAAAAAAATAAGAAACAGGAAAAAATAAAGAGCACATTGTATAGAATAGACTTCAACCAACGATCGTTATCCGAATCTACAGTCTTCTCGCAAGCAAAAAAAGTCACGTTCAATGAAACTTACTTTATTCGTAGTGTCAGCAATTATTGCAGCAATTTTAAGAGTCAGCCTTACGCGTGCGGTTCAACTTATACGCTTATCCGACAGAAAGACTCGTACGAAAATGACCAAAACTGACGTCAATCAGTCAATGGCGTTAGCTTTTATCTTTGTTGCATTAGTGAGTAATGTATATAACTTTGTAAAAAAAATTTGAATCCTGTAATTGTATCACGTGACTATACGAGAACTTTCATTGGTTGCGTTCAGCAGAATCAACCGTTTCTTTTGATCAACCAATAGCAGCGAGCGCTCACAGATCTGCTCCGCAACAATTGAGTCTGCTGAACGCGACCATTGGCAGAGAAACGGAAACGGAAATTTGGGGAGGATCTAATCCCATGCCGTTAATTGGCTATACTTTTCTGGTGCTTAGAGTTTTTCCACTAAGGGCCGATTGTTCCATCTTTTGGTAAAGTTTACCTATTAAGTGAGTAGCAAGATTGCCCAATCACGTGCGCGGATTTCAGCAGAGAAAGCAGCTTTGCAACTGTTGTAAAATTCTTTAATATTGGTCTTGCCCTTATTTCCTCATTAGATCTAAATGTGTAAGCCAATCATATTCAAGAATTTTACAACAGTTGCAAAGCTGCTTCTTCTGCTGAACGCAGCCTATGGCACATAGAAAAACGTAAGGCCGTAAACGTAATCAGTAAGCGAATTGATCAATTACAGTTGAGAACGTTAAGGAGTCTACAGACCAGAGCGGCGCAGCGGTGAAGCGGCGAGCGATAGCCAATGATAGCCATGCTTTTGCGTAAAAGCACAGTGGGTGCTTTCAAATTACAATAACCGTAGACACTTTCGTGCACATGGCGACACTAGAGTCCTAGATATCAGAGAAGCGCAACCGATGTTTCGCGCCCTGATTGGTTGATGACTGTCAGCCAATCATGACATTCATTCATTGGTAATTAAAAATGGCTAACTAATAGACGATTGGTGGATTTCATAGTTCGTCTGCAAATGACGCCGTTTTTAATACTGTTTTTCGTAATTTTGCGATACTGATTAAGCCGGTTGCGCTTCTCTGATATCTTATGACTCTAGAAAACAAGCTCTCATCATTTTTTCTTTTCTCTTCTCCTGAAAAAAGGAAGAAGATGATCTAGTGCAAAAATATAGTCAAAAAGAAGAGACCTAAAATCTCTAGGTAACATCTGATTGGTAAACATTATGAAGTAAGAATAAGGAGACTTAGGGCTGCGCACAATGGAGGAACAGATATTAGATATTAAAATATTAACCTATCCAGATACCAGTTACACCGAAATACACGATTCTGATAGGTTAATATTTTAATATCTAATATCTGTTCCTCCATTGTGCGCAGCCCTTAAGGTTGATTTATACTGGCCGTAAACTGTTAACAATGAAGGAATTAAACGCCTATAACGGTCAAAGCTGGATCAAAGTGCTAATAATAAGTATGAGTGAATTCTTATACACCACATATGTAGCCCCCCCTTTTAAATGCGCTGTTAACTTATGCCGTAATCTGTAAAAATTGACCAATCACAGTCGAATGAGAGGGGAATAATCGATTATAATTGGTCAATTTTTACAGATTACAGCATAAGTTAAGGTTGGATTATACTGGCCGTAATCTGTTAACTTATGCCGTAATCTGTAAAAATTGACCAATTATAATCGATTATTCCCCTCTCATTCGACTGTGATTGGTCAATTTTTACAAATTACGGCATAAGTTAACAGATTACGGCCAGTATAAATCAACCTTTAACAGATTACGGCCAGTATAATCCAACCTTTAAGCTAGGACTCCATATGTACTTTGGTTCAACAAGCTTTTTTCACTAAAAATAGGAAATTTATATATAGATAAACATTAAATGTTAAAAATCTATCTATTCTGATGTTATAGTATGCTTTCCTTTTATATGACACACTCGATACAAACGTTGTTCTATCATTCTTAACATTCAACGAATGATAAAGATAGAACGATGTTTGTGTCGAGTATGTCCTCTAAAAGGAAAGTATACATAGTATAAGTGTGTGTGTATACATACATATATATTTAGGGAGGTTATTGTTAATTTTAATTTATATATATATATATCTATACATTTTTAATAATCAGAATAGATATATTTTAAACACATTCGAACATTAATACAATCTTATTCTATTATAAATATTATAATATTATAGTTACCAAATAACAATATGTCTTGTTGCGTGGAAGGATGTAACTCTAGGGGAAACAAAAAAGGATTTCCCAAAAAAAGCTTGTTTACACCTGATGCCGTAAGTATTCTTATTTTAAGAAATAGTCTTTTTATTCCACATTTTTCGTATATATTTAATATATATTTAACATTTGATTTTAATATTATATATTTTTAACATTATACATTTCACATATATTTTACTTAAAAAGAAAACTTTAATTTCTTTTATAGAATAAGTTTATTTCTTGGTATAATATTATGTCTACTAAAAATATAAAAATAAAAGAGAATAGCAGAATTTGTGAATTACATTTTAAATCAGAAGATATTATTAAAGAGGATGCATTTGTGCAAACAGATGGAACAGTCATTTATGTGACTAGAAAAAACCCAAAATTAAGAGAAGGAGCCGTTCCTTCGATTTTTCCTGTAAAAAAGATACCATATTTTAGACAGATAGAACATAATGATAGACATAGTGATGACGTTATACCTCATGAAAAATTTGCAATTAAATGTGAAACTTCAGAAACAGTTTTAAATTTAGCAAATGAACCAATTGCTCCTACGTCATTAATGTTAAATGAGACATTACAAATAGAAAATGGATCTTTTACACCATTAAAAGAAAATGTTCAGAAGTTTTCTGATGAAGATATAAATATTGCAAAAAATATTAAGGTTCCAACACATTATTGATTTACAAATATTAGTGATACCTTTATGATGTGGACATGTTGGTCAGACGATTTATCATATATTTTAAGACGTATCATAATTACAACAAATATGGAAGTGAAGGTAAATATAATTAAAATAACAATATATGTTACAATATAAATGACAGTACATTTAAATCTAATTTATTAAAATGTTCTTAATATAAAATAGGTATTTATTGGAGATAAAGAAATTTCTTTTGCTATTAAAATAATTCATTATATATCAGAAATTGAACAAATTTTAAAGAAATTACAAACTATATTTCCTTGTGAAGGGGTTAATGATGAAAATAGGTTTGTGAAAGTTTTCTTGTTTAATTACAATGTATTATAAGTAAAATAAAATGTACTCTCTCTTTGAATAAAATATATTAATTTCCTTTACAGAGTTGCAAAATGTCGAGGTTTTGTAATTAAAAGTGAGTACAGAGTAGGACAGATATTGAGATGTTTAACATGTACAAAAAGTAATTTAACACCAATTCAAAAATTAAGAAAAAAAAATGAAATCCTGAAAGGGTTAGATTTATATTGTAAACGTCGAGAAAAGAGGCTTCGAGAGAAAGTACGTATATTGCATCTTTTTTTTTAAGATCCAAATTATTTATATACATATATATATATTGGAATTAATCTTTTAATTTAAAATAATGTTGTTCAAGATTAAAAAATTATACCTGAAAGACATAAATTAATTCAAATCAAATCAAAAGGATATTTAATGAATCCTTCTGTGGCTTTATTTCATCTGCTTTCAACTGCAGAAAAAGGAGTAATAGAGGCAACACAATATGGAGAAATTAATGCTGATATGTTATTTGAAATAATGGAATTGATCAACGAAGAAAAGAATCCTGTAACTTTCCTTGGCTGTGAAAAACATAATTATGAATTTACTAAAAACATTCGTTTTTATTTAATAACACGAATGTTTTTCTTAACCAAGCAGGCAAATAGAAATGATAACGTTGAAAGAGAAAAAACAAAAGAGAAAAGAAAAAGTTTAAAATTAGTTAAAACAAATGTTCAAAATGATCCAAATATGTATTTTCAAATTGAGGAAACAAATGCGGTTGAAACTGTAATACAAATGAAAAAAAAAAGAAAACGTAAAAGTGGAAAAAGCAATAATTAAAATGTTTATTTAGCATGTAAAAATTTATTCATCAAATAAAAATATTATACAATTTTAGTTTTTCATAACTTTTTACAATTTCAATTTCTGCTATTATCTACGAATTCCTTTTATTTCTCTCTCTCTCTCTCTCTCTCTCTCTTTCTCTCTCTCTCTCTCTCTCTCTATAATAATTTATCAACAACTTGTATAAATTCATTTAATTGTTCAATACTTGTAATTACAATAAATTTTGAAAGAGAATGGATTTTGTTATCTATATAAATATGTACTTGTCCATTTCGCAAAAAAGCAATTCTTTTTCTTACATTATAATCACTTTCTACTTTCTGGAAACCAAAAAACATTTCATTTCCTCTTGAATAACTCCATTTCGTACAAGGAAGTATAATCAACTCCAAATTATCTTGAAAGTATTCAAAACTATTGAATCCATTTTTTTCAACTTCCATTATCGTTTTTTATCAAAAGCTAAAAAAAGAAACAAAATATATTATTTTTCTATGAATATTGTGTCCATTATTATCAATTTCCATTATTTAATTATTTTTATATTTTTTTCATTATTTTCGCGATGACAGATATCCTAACCTGTAAAGTCTCAAACTTCAACGCTTAATAACTCGGTTCACAAGGCCGATCCCCGTATTTTTCTTACAGATTCTTTCGTTCTGAAAACGCGATGAATGAGTATAATTTTATTAAGATTTTAGGAGAGCAAGCTATACTCTATCTTTTAGAAGACACGTATTTAACACGACGTGTACACAGTCGCAAGCAAGTATACTGCACATATATGGCACCAAAGACAGAGAAAAAAGGATGAAAAGAGAAAGGCATAGTCTAGTAACTGCCTTATATAATAGGGTGCTTTCCAGCTACGACACAAGTAGACACTGTGTAACACAGTGTACGACACGGTGCTTTCCAACTATGACACAAGTCGACACAATCGTACACAGCTAAAATGCTGAGTTTAACTGTGGGTGCGTTCCGAATTACGCATGAAGCGCGTATACTGCATTACTGGTGCGTAACGCTTTGAAATCGTTCCGTTTAGTCAATGCGCATGAAGCGCTTTAGTTATTCGGAACGATTTCCTATGCATTCTATGCGAGTTCAAGATGGACGCTATACAAGACGTCAATAAACAGTTTCCAATAATTGTAATTTCTTCTTTAATACTTTTAAAGAAAAATGATGAAAGTTCCGATGACAGTTCCGACTCGAGCGATAGTGAAAATGAAGTCGAAGGCATATCTCTAATGGGCCTTCTACAAAATAAGCCATTACCTAAGTTTTAAGTATTAAGTCATAAGAAATTGACCATTCACTGTCGATTATTCTTCTCACATTTGATTGTGATTGGTAAATTTTTTATGATTTAACACTTAAAACTTAAGTAAGAGCTTTTATTGTAGAAGGCCCATAAGTAGTCTAAAAAATAATGCTGATTAGTTGCTTCAATGACGCACTCTCTATTCTGTAGTCCTATTCCGCATCGTGTGATTTCAGCCTTACAGGGTCTCTAGTCACACCGTGTCATGTGTGTCGCTTGTTGGAAGGCACCCCAAATCATCAATAGTATAAAAGTTTAAAAATCTTCGAATTGACTAAATTGAATAAAAAATCCTTTTATAGAATTAAAATAAAAGAAGGTGGTAGAATGTACTTTATAAAATAAAATAAAAATTAAATAAGTTTTTAATCGTTTTTTTTATTTTAATAGAAAATCCACTGTACTATATACTTTCTAACTTTCTGTCCACTTTTATATAATTATCCTTTATATTATTATAATATAATTATTTTTTTATTGGCTGTGTGATAGTTTGTGTGTTTCTTTTAACAGATTTAACTAGAGCTTGTAATTCCATTGGCAATTTTTCGTCTGTTTTTGGCTTCTTAAATTGTTTGTCCTGAAAGTTTCGATGCATTAAAGGAAAAAATATATAAGTCGCTGTTAATTATAAAATGTTCTTTTACTTACGTTTTCTGTGTGTGCTTCGTTTTCAGCTCTTCTCTTCAATTTCTCATTAATTAATGCTTCCGTACCTTTTGTCTTTCTATAATGCGGATCCGCAGGATCAATATTGAAATGATGTGACGTAAACAAAGCGGTAAATCTTGAGTCCTTAACATTAACTTTGAAATTATCTTCCTTCGCTTCTTCTTCTCGTACAGTCTTCTTTTTATTAAGACGTTTTTGTTTAGATTTTGACATGGTTGCGTTTTCTTCAATTTGTTTCATATTGAAATGTTTTTTATCGTCTTCGTCTTGATCCATCAGAAGCAACTCCAATTCGGCTTTACATCGACTACTTTCCTGCTCATTCGATGAATCGATATCAGCTTCATTATCTTCCTTTCCTTTTTCATGGGATAATTTACTGTTTTTTAATTCATTCGCAAAATATTTATTATTCATATCTACATCAGATGGCACAGAATCTTCTGAATCACTTTTCTGACTTTCTTCTTTAAGCTTTTTTCTTTCTTCTCTTTTAGCTTTCTTTTTTGCCTTACGTTTCTCTAGATATTGTTCAAAAGGTGTAAGTTCTTCCTTATTTTTCATGTTTTCTTTGACAAACTTTTCAGTTTTTTCTTTGATATCTAAACCCCATGAGAATTCTAATTCTACATCTTTGTTTTTCTTTGCCTCTTCTTCTTCTTCGATAGTTTTAAGTAAAGATTTATACTTTCCAATTAAATCATTATTTTCTTCTGATTCTTTTTCTGAATTATTATTTATTTTTTCAGCTAAGTCTATTTTTTCTTCTGTATCTGAAAAATAATACAAGAAGAATATATGTAAACAATATCAAATCTTATTGGACAGTTGAGAGTTTTTAAACCAAATACCGATGAGAACATGCCGTAACGGTCAAACTGGATCTTGGTTGCTTCTAATATAATTTTGTATGAATTTATATACTACATATGTAGATTCTTAAATGCGCGCCGAAGTATTTTCAGACTTACAATGCAAACTGTAATAAACTACTGCAGTACTATCACGAGTTAAATTAACTAACAATCTAACAGTTTTGATGCTCATAGCATCTTGGATCTTAATAATATTGAATGACATATTAAAATCTATGAATAATACATTAAAAATCTGTAAATAATTAATTTATATTGCGAAAAATATTACCTCGGCCGGGAGTCGAACCCAGATCTCTGGCATTCTGTGCGAGCGTCCTAAAGCTGTAATCGCACTACAGACTCCCGACTCTGACTTGACTATTGACTTGGACTCCTATCATGCCAACCAATCACAGCAAGGCAGCAGCCAACTCTGACTGTCGACTCGAGAATAGAAATTATTCTATTTGATCGACTTTGAATCGCGAGTTGAGAGTTAGAGTCGGGAATCTGCAGTGTGATTACGGCTTAAGACTAGTCTTCAGACTACCAAGGCCTTAGTAACATTCTTCGCAATAATCATATAAGTAGAAACAATATATGTAAAATAAAAGTCATTATAAGGCTCTATATGTAATAAAACAGTATAAATATAATGAAGGCAAAGAGCCAAGTAATTTAACCAACAACTTTAATTCAAAATTCATGATATAAACGTTACAAAAAACGTTTCGACTCTGATCGAGTCATTTTCAATGTTATAAAATATAAAGTACAAAATTATTATAAGTTAAGGACGTTCACCGGCTACAATCGTAGCCAAAAGTTTACTGCACGCTCGCTTCTCGGTGCATAGCGCATCTCTCTCCCCATTCCGCTTCCCATGCAAATACTTTTTCCTTTTTTTTCTTGTTCTGTTTTTGTTTTTTTCCCACCGCTGCGTCTCAGCGGCGGCTCTCTTTCCATGCGGTGACTTTTGCTTCGAAGTGCTGTCGGATACACCACTTCGAACTTCGATAACTCAACAACGGCACCGCTACGGATCCCCGTTTTTTTAAATGTTATTTCTAGCATCGCGTCCTGCATCATATCCTATTTTTTTAGAACAATCGTATAGATATCACAGTCGCTATGAATTGAAATGTCATTTGAGCGCACGCTTGGGCTATACCTTACATGTTAAAAGTTGCAACTTTGGAAATTAATAACTCGAATTCGGTACCGCTAAATTTTCTGAATTTTAGAGGATATATCGATAATGATATTAATAGCATGTAGTTTAAATTTGAAGCATTTTGTATAGAAATCGATTAGCCGGTGAACGTCCTTAAATTTATAAACGAATTTATAAGACGAATTAATTTAATCAAAATTGTATAAATTTAACTTATAATAACTAATATAGAGAAACAGGGCAATGAACTAATAAATTACGTTAAAAATCTTTTTTTTAAATTAATTTAATATATTGCAAAGAATAGCACGTAATTATGGCATTTCGTCCCAGCTTCCACTACTGGACTCATCAGTATAGGAATACATATATTACTTTGGATAGATATTGCGAAAAGAATATTACTATGTCAACCTGCTATCAGAGGTTTATCGATATTCGCAAATTCTTGCAAGTGCTTTGATACGCGTATATCTCTTCATATAAAATCTCGATTGAATAACTCTCTCATGCATACAAGGTAGGCTTTCACTACAATACCTTACTGATGAGTCCAGTAGTGGAAGCTGGGACGAAACGCCATAATTACGTGATATTCTTCGCAATATATTAAATTAATTTAAAAAAAGATTTTTAACGTAATTTATTGGTTCATTGCCCTGTTTCTCTGTATTAGTTGTTAAAAAGATATTGAGCCTTATTACATTTTAACTTATAATAATTTTGTACTTTATATTTTATGTAACATTGAAAATGATCCGATCAGAGTCGAAACGTTTGTTTTTGTAATGTTCATATCATAAATATTTGAATTAAAGTTTGTTAAATATGTTTAACGATTTAAATTGTTTATAAAATAATACAAAATAAAATAGCGTCATACCTAAATCATCCTCACTACCGCTTGCCAAATATGTTTGTAGATCATTTTCATCAATATTCTGTAGTTTTCCTGAGTTCAGTTTCTGCGTAAATTCTTGCCTATCTGGATTTGTTTCATCCCATGTTAATTGAACTTTAGCTTGTTGTAATGCCGTTGTCGTAAACTGTCGTGGTTGATACTTGATGGGTTCAGGTATCTCAGTACATACCTCTTTAGATTCCTTTAACAAGCAGTTTGTACATAAAATTTATGTTTCTTAATACTTTAATAAACTTTTGATGTAATATGTATAATATATGATATTTTAAGAGATACCTGATCAAATGTCATATTATCTGGTATAAATCTAAGATCTAATCTAGTTGCAGTCGATTCATACTCAATACCGTCGCATTCTGTATATACTTTGTTTGCTGTTTCTGTAGAATCAAATTCGGCAACAGCATAATAGTATTTTAATCGATTCAATTGGTATTGTCTCAACTTTTCCATGTGATATTTTGAACCTTCTTCATTCTAAGAAGAAGGAAATCAATATAATAATTAATAAGAAAAGAAATACTGTAAAACATAGAAAGTCATTCACTAAGAATTTACAAAGAGTAAGTAAGAATAAATAATAACTGTGCGGTTAGAGGTTCGTTATATAAACAATTTTTTCATGATTGCGATCGGCTAGAGAAGCGTCAAGAATGAAACGTTTGTGAATTTGTGTTGCTTTTTATCCGCGTTGATTTATTTAATCGCTGAAGATGACTGGAAATCAGTTGAAACGTCTGGAACTTTGTTAAAAAGAAATTTTGTTTAATGGCGTACCTCTAACCGCGTAGTTATTATTATTTACACCCACTTGTCCTTTGTAAATTTTTAGTGTTTGAATATTGAGAGTCCATTATTATAATTGGTTATAGAAAGTCATTATTTCATACATCATCTTCAATTTCATCTTTACTTCTAACAGCTTCGTCTTTCAGCTCTGCTGGTCCATTAATTTCTTCTTCTTTCATTCGCTGTAGACCAAATTCCGATGGATAAATCTGAAATAAATAGATTTAATATGATTATATTTGTATAATTATTAATTACAATAGGTATTATGTTTCTCTTTACAATATTTCTATACTATTAAATATATATCTAATTAATTATGTAAAATATGTAGAATAGAACAACAATATATTTATATAATGTTATTAATTATTATTTTAGTCATTACTGTAACTGAATAGATGAGTCCAGTACTAGGTAAGAATGAGTTTAACAAAATCATTAAATCTACAGCACGTATTCTATCCCAATCCATATTACAAATAGCTAATCGACATGTGATCTCATTTGTCGTTTCAGCATCTTTGTCCAGTTCACCCCAGTTATGTTCAATCTCTTCCTCAGCATCTAAAACAAATTTGTTTTTGCAGCTACTTAAATATGATCAGAATTTGTATAAGATATAACAAATAATATTTTACCACTAGCTTCATATGATTCTTCTTCTGAAGAGCTGTCACTTAATAGGACACCTTCACCTCTAGCATAATTTACAGTAAGATCTCTCAGTTTCTCTTTAATTTCATGCGTAAGTATACTATTTTCATTTTTTCTCCTTTTATGAAGCTTCTTATTATTTTTATCTAGCTCTGCTTGAGAAAATTCTTTTTGGACAGATTTAGTCTCATTATCTGAGGATTCATCTTCATTGGAAGACTCCTCTTTTGTTTTCAGTTCAGAAAAATTTTTCTGATTCAACAAACAAACATCTTTATTCTTCTCATCTTCATTCCTTTTGTCAGAGGAATCTATCTCAGTTTTTAATTCGATTTCCTTTTTCTTATCCTTTTTCTTCCCCTTGATATCCTTCACTTTTTTCTTGTTGTCTTTTTTGTTTGTAGATGATACAGATGTATCTTCATCTTCGCTGCTCGACAGATCATAATATTTTCTAAGATCTTCGGTGATGGTTTGATTAACAGGTCTACCACGCTTATCAACAGTGTACTTCATGATAAACTTTTTATCTTTAAACATACCCTTAAATCGATCGTCAATTTTCACTGTTCTCTTAGCTTTGGGAATGCGACGAAACTTTGGATCCTTTGCAATATGTGCGAAACGCGGGTCTTTCGGCTTTTTATCCATTATTCGCGAGTCTTTCAGCATTTCATCCATTATTATTGATATTGTTAGTCACTTTATCAATATATACAAACGTAATAACTTTAATTTCGCAATTTTATATACAGAAATGTTATATACAGAAAAATTGCACTTTATTATATTTGTTTTCAATTTTTTTCTTGGAGTAATTTGGTGGGAGTTGTGCACCTTCAACCTTTTCTTGAGGTTATTAATTATATTGATAGATGAAGAGGTTTTTGATTATATTAATAATCTGTTGATAATTTTGCAAAGCTTCTAAATAAAATTAATGACTTTAATCTTCTGTCTTCTTCTTCTTTAATTAATGACTCCCGCCTTCAAACAGTAAATAGGAGGTCGATACGGCCAGATTATATATGTTCTGTGCTGCCAGATCACCGATCACATCCCAAATGAAATTCTTTATTAAAAATGTAATAATCAAGAATAATAATATAAGCAGATTGCAATGCAAAGCGAAGCGCCCAACATGAATGAAGCTAAATGCTCACAAACGAAATAACCACAGATTATAACCTCGCGACTAATGTTGCCGATTCTTGTCATGAGGTATGTTCTTTTTTAAAGTACAGTGCAGGAACTTTTTGTACTTAGTACGCATGGTACAGTTCAAAATGTCGTCACAGTGCACGCGATACAGAGAGTATGTACAAGTTTATGAAAAGGAAAAAAAAAATTTAGATCTAAAGGAATAGTCCTATCTCAGCAAAGAATCATAAAACAGTTGTAAAACTGTTGAGTCTGCTGAACGCGACCACTGGTACATAAAGGCTGCGGTCGAGTTGTCACTACGAATGCTTTGAAGCGTTTCTTGATTGGTCAGTTTGTATAACTCTTTCTTTTGATTGGTCAATCAAACGCTTCAAAGCATTCGTAGTGGCAACTCGACCGCAGCCAAAGTTGCACCAAAAAAATCGTAAGGATGGAAACTGATGATGAAAGTATGTACATCGAATGAAGATAATTTAGTCGGTGCATTTCTTGCATTGCACAATAATAATGGTAAACGCAATTGAATATATATGAATATTATAATTAATATTGTAATATTATTATTATTATATTATTATATTATTAATATTATTATTATAAAATAATTAATACAAGCAGGGCTACGAGCCAACATTCGTTGA